AATAATTATATTTCCTACAGTAAAGGTCGAAAAACGCGGTAAAAGTGCTAAAAGTGACGTTTATGATTTTTGCCCATTTATTCAATCGCAAATATCTCGTAAAGCGAAAGAATGAGTAAGATCTGATCGCAGCGATGTGAAAATCTACGGACTATTTTTTCTATCAGAATAGCATAGTTAAAATGGAAATCTGAGGAATGGTGACCGCAGAAGTCTTAGAAAAATTGCCAAGGGGGTGCTTGATACTTTTCGACGATTTTTGAAAATTCATATCTCTTAAACTAAAAGCGCCAACCAACCAACGAATCGCTGATTATGAAAGATTGGAAAATTCTCTATCAGATATATACAATAATTATATTTTCTACAGTAAAGGTCGAAAAACACGAGTAAAAAGTGCTAAAAGTGACATTTTTTCAATTTTTGCCCATTTTATTCAATCGCAAATATCTCGTAACGAAAAGATAATTAAGATCTGATCACTTGGCGTCTTAATCTACGGACATTTTTCTATCAGATAGCATAATTTAAAATAAATCTGAGAGAGATAAAATTTTTAAGTCTTAAGAAAAAAATTACTTAGGGGGTGCTTGATACTTTTTCGGTGATTTTAAAATTCATAGCTCTTAAACTAAAAGATAGCTACCAACGAATTGTTGATTATAAAAAGATTAGGAAAATTCTCTATCAGATAAGAAATATAAAATAATTATATTTCCTCTGGTAAAAGGTCGAAAAGCTCGACTAAAAGTGCTAAAAGTGACATTTTCAATTTTGCCCATTTTATTCAAACGCGAATATCTAGCTAAAGAGAGATAGTAGATCAATCCGCAGCGTCTTAATCTACCACGGACTATTCGCTTTATCAGATAGGATAGTTAAAACTGGAAATCTAGAGAGATGAAATTTTTAATTTCTAGAAAAAGAATTGTCAAGGGGTACTTCACATACTTTTTCGACGATTTTTGAAAATTCTTATCTCTTAAACTAAGAAGCCACAGCAACCAACAAATTGCTGACTATTATAGATGGAAAATTCTGTATCAGATAAAAACATAAAACAATTATATTTCCTGCAGTAAAAAGGTCGAAAAATGCGAGTAAAAGTGCTAAAAGTGACATTTTTCAATTTTTGCTAATTTATTCAAACGCGAATATCTAGTAAACTAAAAGAGATAATTAAGATCTGATCGCAGCGTCTTGTGCTTGCACAATCTCTATCGAATACGATAGTTAAAAGGGAAATCCTGAGAGATAGAAATTTTCATTCGTAGAAAAAAATTGCGCAAGGAGATTACTTGATACTTTTTTCGGCAGAGACTCTTTGAAAATTCATATCTCTTAAACTAAAAGCACAGCAACAACAAATTGCTGATTATGATAGATTAGAAAATTCTGTATCAGATAAAATATAAAATAGTATATTTCCTACAGTAAAAGGTCCCTGAAAAAACGCGAAAGAGTAAAAGTGCTAAAAGTGACATTTTCAATTTTGCCCATTTATTCAAACGAATCTCGTAAATTAAAAGAGATAATTGAATCTGATCGCAGCGTCAGCAATCTACAGTTTATTTTCTATCAGATAGCATAGTTAAGTAAATCTGAGATAAATTTTGAAGTCTTAAGAAAAAATTGCCAGGAAGTGCTTGATACTTTTCGACGATTTTGAAAATTCTTATCTCTTAAACTAAAGCGCCAGCAACCAACGAATCATGATTATGAAAGATTGGAAAATTCTCTATCAGATAAAATATACAATAATTATATTTCCTACGGTAAGGTCGAAAAACACAGTAAAAGTGCTAAAAGTGACATTTTTCAATTTTTGCCCATTTATTCAATCGCAAATATCTCGTAAACGAAAAGAGATAGGTAAGATCTGATCCGCAGCGTCTTAATCTACGGACTATTTTCTATCAGATAGCATAGTTAAAATGGAAATCTGAGATAAAATTTTTAAGTCTTAAGAAAAAATTGCCAGGGGGTGCTTGATACTTTCGACGATTTTCAAAAATTCATAGCTCTTAAACTAAAAGAGATAGCTTCTCCAACGAATTGTTGATTATAAAAAGATTGGAAAATTCTCTGTCGAATAAAAATATAAAATAATTATATTTCCTACAGTAAAAGGTCGAAAAGCTCGACTAAAAGTGCTAAAGAAGTGACATTTTCAATTTTTTGTATTTTATTCAAACGCGAATATCTCGTAAACTAAAGAGATAATTAAGATCTGATCGCAGCGTCTTAATCTACGGACTATTCCTTTATCAGATGGGATAGTTAAAACGGAAATCACAGGAAGATGAAATTTTAATTTCTAGAAAAATTGTCAGGGGTGCTACATACTTTTTTCGACGATTTTGAAAATTCATATCTCTTAAACCCCGCTAAAACAACAGCAACAAATTGCTGACTGTATAGATTAGAAAATTCTGTATCAGATAAAAGCTTATAAAATAATTATATTTCCTACATTAAAAAGGTCGAAAATGCGAGTAAAGTGCTAAAGTGACATTTTCAATTTTTACTTAGTAATTTGTCAAACGCGGAAATATCTCGTAAACTGAAGATAATTAAGATCTGATCGCAGCGTCTTAATGTACGCACCAATCTCTCAGATACACGATAGTTAAAAAGGGAAATCTGAGATGAAATTTTCATTAAATAAGAAAAAATTGAGAGTGCTTGATACTTTTTCGACGATTTTGAAGAAATTCATATCTCTTAAACTAAAAAGCCACAGCAACCAACAAATTGCTGATTATGATAGATTAGAAAATTCTGTATCAGATAAAATATAAAAATAATTATATTTTCCTACAGTAAAAGGTCGAAAAACGCGAGTAAAAGTGCTAAAAGTGACATTTTCAATTTTTGCTTATTTTATTCAAACGCGAATATCTCGTAAATTAAAGAGATAATTAGATCTGATCGCAGCGTCTTAATGGCACGCACCAATCTCTCTATCAGATACGATAGTTAAAAAATCTGAGAGATGAAATTTTCATTCGTAAGAAAAAAATTGCCAAGGGTGCTTGATACTTTTCGACGATTTTTGAAAATTCATATCTCTTAAACTAAAGCCACGAAAAACCAACAAATTGCTGATTATGATAGATTACTGAAAATTCTGTATCAGATAAAAATATAAAATAGTATATTTCCTACGAGTAAGGTCGAAAAAACACTTGACTAAAAGTGCTAAAAGTGACATTTTCAATTTGTGCCCATTTTTGTTCAATCGCGAATATCGTAATCTAAAGCGCTGATAGAAAAGGAACGAATCTCAAAGTCTTAATCTACGGACAATTCTTTATCCAAATGAAGATGAGTTAAATTGAATATCAGACATAAAATGTTAACTCTTAAGAAAAAAATTGGTAAATGAGAGTTAGCTATATAACCTTCATCCACGTAAGATTGCCTAGACACGGTCACTTCTGCCGCTGCAACTTCATACGGTGCTGAGAACACGAGTCACTTCTATCGACACCTGCTACAGTATTATAAACCGAATGAGATTCAACTATACAGTGCGAATAATTTGCAGTATGACTAAATAAACAAGGAAAAATCAACGTTCTTGACATATTCGAGTCAATAAACGATAATAGTGCATATCTTTTAAACAAAAGCTATAGTGACCAGCTCAATTGAAAAGTTACCAGAAAAGATTTGAAAATTCTGCGTATATGAATTTGAAACAATTTAATATCGTGGGATAAAAGACCAAAACCTGACTAAAAGTGCAATTTTTTGCCCTTTTGAATTGCGAATATCTCCCCATTATGATAAATACAAATTGCGGTTGTAATTTGGTTCACAGGTGATGGGTGGTACGTAATAAAATAGAAAACTTTGTTTATAAACAGCAAATATAAATTTGACCCAAAATATAGGTGAATTATAAGAAACATACTAGTACACAGCTTATGGACTGCAGGCACAACGAGTGCTGTAACTAAACGAATACCTAGAAATTAAAACAACAATATTTCATACAATTGAATTATGTTATAGTAACAATCAACACAAAATATAAACAATATTCTATTTAGATTTTCAGATACTTACAAAAACCTGACGGATCTTTCTTAATGATGAGAATCATCATGGGGCGATATATATCTGATTAATTTAGCAACCGACACCAAACACAACAACTTGCCAGTGAAGAATGTTATCAAATCCACTATCACGTGACTTGTAATATACATAACAAACGCGATCAAAACCGGCATTTCCGAACATTAAACAAATTACTATAGTCGCATAGTACAAATAAATAGTCGATTTGATCTTCGGTATAACACCAAATTTAGAATATTGAAGTCGAATAAACGACAAATCTCTCAAAACACACGACTGGATTAACCAGCGACCGGCGCAGCGAAAGCTGCAATCCACCGATGGTGCATGCCGAGCTTTGCGTAAACTTAACGGCAAGGACGAAGTATCACGAAAATTAAAGAAGAAGCAAAGTTGCTTTTAAGCCAGCGCGTCGAAACGTCCGCACCTGACCTCGAGCGAATACTAGCAGGAACAAACGAGATTTACGCTGCATGCAGATAAAAGCATTGTATACAAAACTATTCTCGTTCCCACGTTTATCGATAAATATAAAAATATGCCGTATACCCGATTTTATGATTTTTAGTGCATCCTAGTGCCATCTATGAATGCGACAGATACTAGTCCCACAACTGAGATTATTATAATCAATAATTATTGATTCCACGTGTTTCCACTTTTGTATGCAGTTCATATTGTCGATTAACAGGTAGAGCATCTCTTAAACTATAACATGGCCTTTAGAAACTCACAAAATGTGTATTAGTTCACGAGCTACAAAGCGTTTCTCTTACTAACTTTTTAAAAATTAGAAAAAATAACAATTATTAATAGTTAGTGGTACTTTTTAAATTAAGAATTAAATTTTAAAAATTTCCAGATTATTGAGTTGCCTACAGTTCCCGAAAACACGCCTGCGCATTATTTATTCTCTTGTAATGGCTGACGCGCGAATGATGTTTCTGATATTTTATGTAGATATTAGTCAATATCTCTTCTATTAATTAATATTATCACCAAACCACAACGTAAACTAACGTGTAACAAGTGTGTTTTAATTCGGAGTACAAAATGAGTGACAAATTGAAGGTAGAAATCGTTTAATTCTATATTGAATCTTACTAACCTCAATATTATTTTATAGCAGATTCCCCAACAGAAGTTGAAGGCATTTTCGATTGGATCAATGGGAAAACGGACACTTTCTAAAAAGGAGCTTGAAGAGCAGCGGAAAAAAGAAGAAGAAAGAGCTGCAGCACATGTATGTCTATGAAACTCTAATTATTACTTCAAAAAATTTGATATTTTAAACAAAAATATTTCATTTTGTAAAAGGCTTTTCAAGAGTTTGTCGAGACTTTCCAAGAGACTCCAATAAATGGAGGCAGCAAGGTATGGGTCAAAGCAGGCACGTATGATGCAGGAGCAAGAAGTACGTATTTTTAACTTTAATATAAGAAATAGTTCTAAATTATTAATTTGCAGAGGAAGATACACGTGAAAAAGGCAAACTGTATAAACCACAATCACGATTATCATCAAATGATGCAAACACGACGGATGCCGCCCAAGCTTATGCAAAATTACTTGCCAATGAGAAGAAACCAGAGAGATTGGGCAAGAGAAAATCAAACAGCAAGAGTAATCTTGAGTCATTTAAAGAAGAACTCAAACAGTAAGCTATAAATTAGTTTTTAACATCAAAACTTATCAAAACCATATTTGTACTTGTTTAGAATACAAGAAGAAAGAGAAGAACGCCATAAGTACAAAGGAATGAGCAGAAATGCTGTGGAGAATGACATGGATCTTTTCCTCAAGGGAAATGACATTGGGTCATTTGATAATGGTGATCCTACAACAACCAATTTGTATTTGGGTAACCTAAACCCCAAGGTTAGTTTACATTAAAAAACATTCTGCTTAGTATTTTGGTTAATTATTGTATTATTTATGTGTAGATAACTGAACAGCAACTGATGGAAGTGTTTGGACGTTTTGGTCCATTGGCAAGTATTAAAATAATGTGGCCTCGATCAGATGAAGAAAAATCACGAGGTAGAAATTGTGGATTTGTCGCGTACATGAGTCGGAAAGATGGGGAACGTGCTTTACGTTGCTTAAATGGTAAGTTTTATGATAAAAACTAGAAAAATAGTTCAGAATTAATGTAAATAACAATTTATCACTAATTTTACTGAAAATATCTTCATTTACTCATCAATATTCTGTATTTTATTGCATCTTACCATTTACACCATTTACGTGGGATTAAAATTTTTGCAGGAAAAGATATTCTTGGCTACGAAATGAAGTTAGGCTGGGGAAAATCAGTTGTAATCCCACCACATCCGATTTACATCCCACCTTGTCTGCTGGAGTTGTCATCACCGCCACCACCATCTGGATTACCTTTCAACGCGCAACCCCAGGCTAGGGACAAAGACGTTCTGCCTAAGAGTGCGGAGGAACTCAATGAAATACTATCTAGAAGTTTAGTTAAAGTTGTATCGCCGACTGACAGAGCTCTGTTGATGCTCATTCATAGGATGGTTGAGTTTGTCGTGCGGGAAGGACCCATGTTCGAGGCTATGATCATGAATAGAGAGATAAATAATCCTTTGTTTAGGTAAAATAAATAATAATTAATGTGGATTTGTGTAAAAACTCAAAATATTTGTTTAGATTTTTGTTCGAGAATCAAAGTCCGGCGCACACTTACTATCGATGGAAGATTTATTCAATTATGCATGGCGATTCACAACGAGAGTGGAATACGAGGGAATTTCGTATGTTTAAAGGTATAATATTTATAATTTAGTCCCTTAAAGTGGTTTAAACAGTAATTATAAGCGCAATAATAAAGATCACAAAATCTAACCTTAAAAATAATCAAAATAGCACTAAATTTACACAAAAAACTAATTTTTATTTGTTTTGCTAAGTGTTTTACGTCTAACTCCAACAATAATTATTATTTATCTACAAAACAACAACTTCATCAATATTTGTTTATTTAAAGATGGTTCTGCATGGAAACCACCTCTAATGAACAACTACACCGCCGGCATGCCAGAAGAACTCGTTAACGACGACGAAGACCGCTCGAACACCAAAGGTTCCCTTTCAATAACCCAACGTGACCGTCTTGAAGACCTCATCCGCAACCTAACACCTGAACGCAAGAAAATCGGCGAAGTAATGGTGTTCTGCATTGAACACAGCGACGCCGCTGAAGAAATCGCCGACTGTATTCTTGAATCCTTATCTAATGACACCACAGCGATAAATAAAAAAATTGCGCGTTTGTACCTCATCAACGATATCTTACACAACTGCGCTGTTAAAGTTACACGAGCCTCTTCATACCGACGAGCATTCGAGAGCAGATTAATCGAGGTAATGAAACAAATCAAAATGGCGTATGACAAGATGGACGGCAGATTGAAAGCCGATGGGTTCCGAATGCGTGTTATGCGCGTATTAAAAGCATGGGAAGATTCAATCTTCTCAAAAATATACATGGATAATTTAACAAACACGTTTCTGGGGATAATCGCACCAGCTGTCGATGACAAAATGGACGATGTTGATGGTTGTCCCGTTGAAGCGGAAACAGATGAAGATGTACCTATGGATGGCGCTGCATTGTTAAAAAGCGCATTGAAACAAAATATGAGAAGTCCATCACCTATTCCATCAGATTATGATGGTAAAATATTAATTTTTATTTAAAAACAACTAAAATAATGTAAATATTTGTATGTTAGGTGTTGTTATTGAAGATGATTCCTCAACCGCCGGTTTCATCAAATCCAAATGGGAGACAGTGGATCCAGAACAAGTGGAGGCACAGGCAATGACCACGAGTAAATGGGACATGTTGGAGCACAGCGGCGACCAGAGCATGGACAGCAGCCAGGCGGACAACGACGGCTCCAATGACTATACGGATAGCAGGTTGGTGGTAGTTTACAGGTGTAGCAATACATTAAGCTGAATCTTTTGACAATTCGCAATTTAATGCAAGACGTACTCTGTGGGTGCAAAAATAATCAACTCATTTACAAACACACTTAGAACTATGACTGAAGAGAGGCGCACAAGGTTGCGCGAAATTGAAGTGAAAGCTATGCAGTATCAGGACGAGTTAGAGTCCGGCCAGCGATCGGTGAAGTCCGGCTGGACGGTGCCGCAGCACGTCGAGCATTACAGGCGCAAGCTGCTGAGGAAGTCCGAACGCGAACGTCGAGACAGCTCCGAGGAGGATTACTACCTGTAAGTACACCAGGCGTTTACTCATTCTTTTCTATTTCTCAAGAAATGACCATGTCAGTATGAAACTGTGTCGTATATGTTTTGATTTACGTGTTGATGATGAACCATGTGGGCTTACGTTTGTTACTAATGTTGTAGTACCTCTAGAAAACATAAAAAGCATGCGCGCAGCTCTTCGAGTGGGTCCACATCAAGGCACAGGTAAAAGTTTTTGAACATTTTCTATTTATTACTTCAAAAAGCAAGACTAGCTTGTGATAAATGTTGGGATATTTGCAAAAATATTACGTACTATGATTTGTGCTGGAATTTTAGGTCGAAAAGTCGTTCGCCAGCGCGCAAGAAAAGCACACGAGCCCCCAGCCCGCCCAGCCCCCCACGAATCAAGTCGCACGGGTCGCGTTCCTCGCGTCACAATCGCAGTCCTTCACCTTCCTCGAAAGGTCGTTATTCACCCTATTCCCCGAGACCTTCCTCTGGTAGGCATGATCGCAAGTCGCCGTCCCCGCGCGTGCGAAATCGTTCACCCGATGTGCGCAAACACAAGCACAAACATAAATATTAGATGTGTAATTCCACAACTTTATGCTTCTTACAAGTTGTTCATGATCCAGAGTTGTTAAGTCGTTTTTTGGGGGGTTGGTCGGCGCTGCGTCTGCGTCGTCGTCCGAAGAAGTGTATTTGTGTTCCATGGCCTTTTTTACAGGATGGTGTGTGATTTATTTTTCTTTTTATCCAATATTCCAAGTAGTAGACTTTATTATTGAATAATTTCTATTTTTTTTTATACTTGCACATGATATTGTATAGACTTGTAATTCGTTTAAGAATGTAAATTTTAACATGATATGTCTACAACAGGAGAAACACGTTTTAAAGTTATCCTGAATATTTCCTTCAATTTAAATGTTGGAATCCTGCGGTGTGTCAGTTCCAAATTGGTGTATGGTGGGTTGCCTAAGACACGACTCCATTTGTGAATATATTCCTGCTGAAGGACACTTGAAACACATCATTTGACTTGCTTAGTTTGCCAGGAAATACTTAAATATGACATGTTTTCCTTTGGATTAAGGCTTATTTTAATGCCAATTTACATATCCAGTAACACATAATGTATACTGTTGATTGGTTTTCTTGTTTTTGCAAGAAATACGAAAAAATCTGAAATGAAATCCAAAATAAACGTTTTTTGAATGTCGATTGAAACACGCCATTGAAATAATAGAAAAAAACGTCTTGCTCATTAATATCACTTATTCTCAAACTAAAAACAATATATTTATTGATAAAACACAAGTAAACATCACCTAAATTAAATAAAAACTATAAAATTCCAAAAATATTTGCCGATGTTTACTCCACTTGGCGAAGAAAAGCAAAGAATAGAAAATATTCCGCGAATAAAGGGACAGTAGGACAGATTTAATATCATTAAAATTCATGGGGTCGACTTGAACGTCAGTTATGTGACATTCGCATTCAGGCCGGGGCGAGACGAGGGTGGCCAATAAACCACCGACGTCGCATGAAAAATCATGATATTTTCATTACATCTGTACAGTTTTACAGGCGCATTCATTCCCTTTTCGTCTTCTGCGGCTTGCATCACGAATTTAATAACAATAAAACATTTAAATACATCAACAACGAAGGAACTCGTTTAAATATCTTTCAAAGTCAGAAAGTAAACAAGTTACAGTTGTAAACAATTATTACTTTGAAGAAGATATCAAGTATGAAGTATATTTATGAACAAATTGTATTTAAAGTTACAATCATGTCAAATTCAAGATAAAAATGGTGACTGGGTGCAAGACAACACGAAATAAGAGCGAATTTTGTTTAATTTTAATGAATTTGCTTATTATTATGCAAAATATGCATGTTTTTCATTGTTTAAACTTTATTTAGCGTTTGAATATTTGATTGTATTTAGAAAACATTAAAAACAGTGACTGACATAACCTCTAATGTTAACATAACCTATAATAACCTATAAGTACTAGTATATCGATTAAAAATTGCATTTTTTATTTAAAAGAAGAATAACTCGAGTAATCTTTGATAAAATCGGATGAAATTTTATATACACTCAATTTATTAGCTAAAGAAGCATCTGACAAAATTTTGTTAAAATATATTCACTGTAATCCAGAAAATTTGACGATTAAACATGTAAAACATTCAAATTTTTGAGAAGCAGTATTCAAAAAGAAAAACTAAAAAACTTTATGACTTCAGTTGACAATTAAACTAATCAACCCCACGTAGCGAGCACGTTTTGTAATTAAAGATAAAGATAAAATCACAACGTGATGCTGTAACTCATTCCTCTCAAACTTGAACCTCTTGAACCCTTTTATTACGGTTGACATTACTTTTACATCTGTTGTAACATAGTTGGCGGCGTTTTTCTTCCTTTGCTCACGTGCGACTCGCGAGCGCTCAAGATAAACGTATTTTAAATGTCCGCCTTGATGAGGTCCTTCTGCTGATAGTCCTCTTCTTGGTTTTTGCGCGCCGGGGACGACATTGTCTGATTTTTAAACAAAGTTAATGACTGGCAGTCATGGCCGGAAAACGGAAAATTTGCTTTCGGCTATTTAAAAGTTTGCGCTAATCTTGCGCGAGATATGCGCGCGGGCAAAGATGATGATGGTGGCGTGCCTGGTGGACTTTCGAAAGTAATAAAAATCTTGCGAGCAGAAATGAGAATTATCCTAAGTGATCGCCGGGTGCCTCGCGGCGGTCGAGCGATTGGGGACGGAGGAGAGACATTCAGAAGTGTGGGGGTGGGTTTTTTATATATAGGGTTGTGATGCCAGTAAGCAGAAGGGTTAATTTAGATTCTTGTTATCAATAATTGCAATTGCAATTTTTGTGGGGAGGAAATTAGTTAGTTTTAAAGAGTAATCAATACTTTTTTGTTTAATTTTAGAATAACTTCGTTAATATTTGATGGAAAGTTATGAAATTTTATACATAGTTAAATAATTACTTATTTAATCTAATTCCAAAATATTATTAGAATATTTTCATAAAATTTTGAGTTATTGACGGTTAAAATATAAAAAACAAAAAATATTTAATTTTTACTTTAATCACGGATTTCTCGGAGATTCTTTTATAGAATATTACCAAATTTTGAATATGCATAGGGTATTTACATAAAAATATGATCTAAAAATTTTAGCGCAAGATTTATAGTGCAACACTTAAATATTTATTAATATTTAATAAAAATCAAAAGGTTTTATTTAATAAAATTAAGAAAAGTTTGACCTTCAAATTTTTAAGGTTATATTAAATATTTTTAAACAAAATTTTCTCAGACACTTCCTTAGCTAATAAATAAAGTGTGTATAATTTCATCAAATTCCATCAAAGATTTCTCGAGTTATTCTCAATTTCAATAAAAAATGCATTTTTCTAGATTTAATTTCATCTTAATTGATATAACTTCCTAATTAATATATCCTAAAGGTGAGTCCCATCCGGCGATTGTTCCACGCTGTGTGTACCATCCCGCCCGCCCCCTAGGAACTCATTAAGCAGCGCGTCCGGTGCTGGCGCATGATAAACACGCCGACGACGCCGACGTTCGGACATTAGACGTCTCCATTAATTTAAATTAGCAGCGCCTTTTGTGTTTTTCGGCGAGGGCGCGCAGATACACACCTGATAGACTGTATAAGGTGGTGATGATGATGATCGTCATCAATGGCGGTGCCACCTTTGTTTTCGTGCGCTACTCACTGTTACCCCTCGGCCGCTCGATATAATTGGGTTGCGTTGCGTTGCGAGGCGGTTTATGAGCGCGAACACATTTGCACAAGTGAACAATGGACCGCAATTACCGCATTTGCGGCATTAATCACGCGCGAAAGTCGGCCAGTGTGAAAATATTTGGGGTTGCGCGCGCGGGGGCGGTGAGGGTGGTGGTTAAAAATTAAACGCTGGGAGATGGGTGATGGGTGACGGGGTGTGCAATATCTTTTGTAACCTTTCGTGTCGATAAATCATTTTTGCACAATGGCAAACAAACACACACATACAGAGGAATAAACAACAAACGAAAGCAATTATTTAAGTTGATTAATTTTTAATTTCTTTGAATTATGATTGATTGAATTAAAATTTAGAGACTGGTTTTAATTATTGAATTGCTTAATATTTTTTTTAAATAAAAAATAATAGAAATAGATTTTGAATTGGATTTTCAAGAGATTTTAATTTTATTTGCGTTTTTTTTTCTAATAAAACTAAAATTAAATTGAATTTTTTATAAAATAAATTTAAATAAAATAAAATATGATTGCTTTCTAGTAAAATAAAGGTTTTTGCATAATTTGTTATGTTTTTGGTATTTTGAAATGTTTTTAGTTCATTGCTCCGCATTTCAAAATTATTTTCGTGTCTTGCATTTCATTATCAATATTGCAAATGATTACAAATTTGTACCTAACTATGACGCATAAAATATAATAGATAATAAACAATATTTTACTATAAAAGCCCAAGCGATTATAAACCCAAACATAAATCAATTCCACATACAAGAATAAACAGTTCTACCAATATTTAAATAACAATTTAAAAATGGTTAAATTTATTTTGCAAGCTGTACTTCTATCAACTCTCCTGGCTATGGTATTAGCTCAAAGATGTCCTCATACTGTAGAACCACCTTGCATGTCTACACTTCCTTGTGAAGAAAATTGTAGTGATTCGCCTACAGAATGTGCAGAGGTAAATGGTAATGCTGGCGTTCTTGCTCCTGGCGGATGTAATTGTTGTAATACCTGCGTGTACATAGTCAGTAAGTATATTTTATGATTGATTAATTATAAAGTACTTCATATTGATATTCATTCATTTTGTGTTTGTTATAGAAAACAATGAACAATGCGGTTATAATGGGACAACACATACTTCCTTTGAGTGCCGCTGCAATTTCCAGTGTGTTGATGGTGTATGCCAACCAGAAAACAAGCCATGGTGGCCATAGGAAGAAGATGTAGAAGAAGAAAATGTTAGTTTGGAAGTGTTTTCAAAACATTGTTAGCTCTTGTTGTTATAATGATTGAGCGTTGAAATAAAATATATTAAAATAATATTTGTTGTAATTATATGCAGATCCCACATATTCCTGAACCCAATATTTGAGACTTCAATTTTGTCCATTTATTGGAAATATATAAGCTTATGGGTTAAATGAGAAGTGTATTTTAATCGGGGAACAAAATTTATTTGTTTCTGCTTACTGTTTACATTTTAATTATAAAAACATGAGCAGTGGTTGGATTTTGTATTAAATTGTATCTTCACCCTTCCAGAAACTCCTGCTACCTTACATTCCTCGTCACATTTCTGAACTCCAGTGCATCTTGATGAGTCTTTTAGAATGACTGTTAGTGTTGTTGAAAAAATATACATTTGTTAAGAAAACTTAAATAGGCTAAAATTTCTAATTTTTTCTTTAACTTACTGAGTTGGGTCAATAGCACTTCCAAAATTCAAAGAAAAACACAGTTATGCGACGCAAAACAAAGCACCACTTCATTATGAATTGTTGGTTCCACCGCAGGTATTCTTCAACAAATTGACTGAATACGTTTTCGTTTTTCTATATACTAAAACTAGATCTAATTAAAAATATTATCTAAATATTTTTAAGAAGTTAATTATGAATAATTTTGGTTATGTAATTTGCTATGCATTTTACCTTGTTAGTTCTTATCTCATTTCTTGATATATTTGAAAAGTGAAATGAACTTGAATTAACTTAAAATTGTATGAACTCAACGTCAAGAATGTGTTTTGTTGAGTTGCAAAAATTTAGATCATTATTTATAATGTGTGCTTATATTAACCAGTTAATCATTAACTATAATTAAAAGATTATTCAAACCAAAAGTTATTTAGTATCCTGTGTTACATTTAAATAGAAGTTTTTAATTCCAATGAACTTGAACCAATTTTAAATATTACTAAGACGTTAGCCAAGCTACGTATTGCTCGTCTCTAGAAGCCAGAAGAAGTAAATAAATGAAGTAGAATGGCGGGAAGTTTAAAATGGTTGAAAGTATAGCCTATGGAAGTATAGTGTACGTCTCCATAGTGTAGTCAATTGGATTTGATGTTGACGTAGCTAAATGGTAATACAGTGTGTGATAATACAGTGTGATGGTACCATAGTACCAGGTTTGAGCTTCATTGCTGGAATGCTGATGGCGTTAAAGTAGTCAACAGCTGTGATGCAGAGGTATTATTGGTTAAACAATTTCTTTATTTTATTTTAAAAATAATTTTTTATTAAATAAAAAGTAGCCTATAACCATTCGGGAACCACTAAGAATATGTGTACATATTTTCAGGATGATCGGTTAAGTAGTTTTTGCGTGAAAGTGTAACAAACATCAGGACTTTCGCATTTATAATATTAGTAGGGATATCGTGCCCCTCCGATACAAGCAGCAGCAGCGCCTGCTTTGACGTGCTTGACTGACGTTGCATGGGATTTCATACCGCGCGCAGCGCATGCGCAGGCGGCTGCTCCGTCCCGTGCATAATGCAAGTACATAATGAATATTATGGGCGGTTTGACCGCCCGTATATAAAGTACCACGTTTTGGGTCTAAATACTGTGGATAAACTGGCGTTGTATAGATGGAAGTAGAGAAATATTTTTATTATATATTTTTAACATCTAAGCAATAAGTGACAACGTTTGTTTCATAATGCAAATCCATAAATATTCGGGGATATGGTAGATAGGTATAATAAGAAACATATTATTATCGGAGGAACAAAATTTATTTATTCACGTTCGTGTTTCCAATCATTTTGCTAATTTTTACAACTACAGACGCTGGATTCGCATACTCCCCTTGAATGACCTTGAAATAAACATTGGTCCCTGCATTTCTGGGCATTGCAACGTGACTTAGCGTGGACTGTATACGCTGAAAAAACACACAATTCGATAAAATAATTCAAAAGTTATAATAATAAAATAAAAGTTTCATTTGATTTTTTTTAACTTACGAGAAGGATTAGCTGCGCTGAAACCAACAAATGCGATGGCGAGCATCATGAAAACAAAGCACCACTTCATTATGAATCGTTGATTATTGACGGCAGGTACTCTTCAAATAAAGTAACTCAAAACATCTCGGTATTTATACTAAAACAAAGCTTCATAAGGCGCAATTAGTATAACTGACAATTTTAATTATTATATTTATGTTATCTGTTAATCCACTTTTTTCATACTCGTATGTGAAGTTTGGTATTTAAATGAAAGTGAATTCTTTTCGAACAAGCTTAAAATTCCGTAAGTCATATGTAAAGAATGTGATTTATTAACATGCGACTTGACGCTATATAATGTTCAGCCTATTATTTTTAATGTACACCTATTAAAGTTGAACACAGGTGTTATTAAAAGGGTTTTTAAAAACTGCAAATGAAATATTATCAACATAATTAGATTATTTATTTATTTCCGTGGGTACGTGTTTCTTTATCAACGTCTTAATAGATAAAGCAAAAAACGGTTTCGCATGTGAATAAATTACATGCGGAATTTTAAGCTAATTCGAGAAAAATGCAGTTTAAATCAAATATTGAAGTTTTAATATAAAAAAGCATGAAAAAGCAATATATAAATTTTATAATCAAAATTGTCAGTTATTACCCTTTAAAACATAAATTATATAAATATAAATTATCAAGTCTTGTTTTAGTATATATACGAAAACGTTTTGAGTCAGTTTAATTCGAAGAATACCTGCAGTTAACAACCAACGATTCATAATGAAGTGGTGCTTTGTTTTTGCCGTCTTTGCCATCGCTGTGTTTTCCTTTGACTTTGGAAGTGCTAGAGACCCAACTCGTAAGTTAAAGAAAAAAAATAGAAATTTTAGCTTAATTTTATTTACTTTTCTTAACAAATGTATATTTTTTTCAGCAACACTAACAGTCATTCCTAAAGACTCATCAAGATGCACTGGAGTTCAGAAATGTAACGATGAATGTAAGGCAGCAGGTTTCTGGAAGGGTGAATGCAATTTATGCAAATCCAACTACTGCTCATGTTTTTATAATTAAAATGTAAACAGTAACTGAAACAAATAAAGTTTGTTCCCCGATTAATAATATTCTTCTCATTTAACCCATCAAAATATCCCTACTTCCCTACTAATATTATAAATGCGAAAGTCCTGATGTTTGTTACACTTTCACGCAAATACTACTTAACCGATCATCATGATAGTTTGCACACATATTCTTAGTGGTCCCCGAATGGTTATAGGCTACTTTTTATTTAATAAAAAAAATTATTTTTTAAATAAAATAAAGAAATAGTTTAGCCAATAATACCTCTGCATCTGGCTATTTGACTACTTTAACGCCATCTAGCATTCCAGCAATGAAGCTCAAACCTAAGTACTATAGTACCATCACACTGTATTATCACACTGTATTACCGACAGCTACGTCAACATCAAATCCAATTGACTACACTATGGAGACTGTACACTATACTTCCATAGACTATACTTTCAGCCATTTTAAACTTCCCGCCATTCTACTTCATTGTTACTTCTTCTGTGACTACAGACGCGTACGGAAGCAACTTCATTATTTTAGATATTCGCGAGCGAAGCCAAGGGTTAAAGCTAGTGCACTTATAATCTTACAGTTTAAATAAGTGTGCGAGCAAATTGCGATGATTTAAAATAAAAAAGTTGAAATACAAAAACCGCAACGTCGAACTAGAGTAGAAGTAGAAAAAATAGCATGAGCATCTTGTGGCTAAACGTTGTTAATACCCTCGTTTAGACACTTGTTACGTAATATACTATTATTTTCTACCCCTCAAGAAAAACATGTCAATTTAAAAATAAATAGTAGCGCAGAACTTTTTGAAATATTATTTTTAAACACACATCTTTCATATCGTATGAAAACGTCTTAGTAATATTTAAAATAAGTTGAAGTTCGTGGAATTAAAAAAACTCCCTATTTAAATGTAGCACGGGATACTAAATAACTTTTGGTTTTGAATAATCTTTTAATTATAGTTAATGATTAACTTCAATAAGCACACATTATAAATAATGATCCCAAATTTTTGCAACTCAACAAAACACATTCTTGACGTTGAGTTCATAGAATTTTAAGTTAATTCAAGTTCATTTCACTTTTCAAATATATCGAAATGAGATAAGAAAGAACTAACAAGGTAAAAATGCATAACTTAAATTACATGACCAAAATTATTCATAATTAACTTCTTGAAAAATATTTAGATAATATTTTTTAATTAGATCTGGTTTTAGTATATATACGGAAACGTTTTGAGTCAGTTTAATTCGAAGAATACCAGAAGTTAACAACCAACGATTCATAATGAAGTGGTGCTTTGTTTTTGCCGTCTTTGCCATCGCTGTGTTTTCCTTTGAATTTGGAAGTGCTAGAGACCCAACTCGTAAGTTAAAGAAAAAATAGAAATTTTAGCTTAATTTTATTTACTTTTCTTAACAAATGTATATTTTTTCAGCAACACTAACAGTCATTCCTAAAGACTCATCAAGATGCACTGGAGTTCAGAAATGTGACGAGGAATGTAAGGCAGCAGGTTTCTGGAAGGGTGAATGCAATCTATGCAAATCCAACTACTGCTCATGTTTTATAATTAAAATGTTAACAGAAACAAATACATTTTGTTCCCCGATTAAAAATATACTTCTCATTTAACCCATCAACATACCTACTAATATTATAAATGCGAAAGTCAGATGTTTGTTACACTTTCACGCAAATACTACTTAACCGATCATCATAAAATTTGTACACATATTCATAACGAATGGTTATAGGCTACTTTTTATTTAATAAAAAATTATTTTTGAAATAAAATAAAGAAATTGTTTAGCCAATAATACCTCTGCATCTGGCTATTTGACTACTTTAACGCCATCTAGCATTCCAGCAATGAAGCTCAAACCTAAGTACTATAGTACCATCACACTGTATTATCACACTGTATTACCGACAGCTACGTCAACATCAAACAATTGACTACACTATGGAGACTGTACACTATACTTCCATAGACTATACTTCCCGCCATTCTACTTCATTGTTACTTCTTCTGTGACTATTTCATTATTTTAGATATAAAGGGTTAAAGCTAGATGATAGAATTGAAGTCTGAAATATTAAGGTTCAGGAATCTGCTGGATCCTGTAATATAATTACAACAAATATTATTTTAATATATTTTATTTCAACGCTCAATCATTATAACAACAAGAGCTAACAATGTTTTGAAAACACTTCAAAACTAACATTTCATTCTTCTACATCTTCTTCCTATGGCCACCATGGCTTGTTTTCTGGTTGGCATACACCATCAACACACTGGAAATTGCAGCGGCACTCAAAGGAAGTATGTGTTGTCCCATTATAACCGCATTGTTCATTGTTTTCTATAACAAACACAAAATGAATGAATATCAATATGAAGTACTTTATAATTAATCAATCATAAAATATACTTACTGACTATGTACACGCAGGTATTACAACAATTACATCCGCCAGGAGCAAGTTCGCCTGCAATACCATTTACATCTGCACATTCTGTAGGCGAATCACTACAATTTTCTTCACAAGGAAGTGTAGACATGCAAGGTGGTTCTACAGTATGAGGACATCTTTGAGCTAATACCATAGCCAGGAGAGTTGATAGAAGTACAGCTTGCAAAATAAATTTAACCATTTTTAAATTGTTATTTAAATATTGGTAGAACTGTTTATTCTTGTATGTGGAATTGATTTATGTTTGGGTTTATAATCGCTTGGGCTTTTATAGTAAAATATTGTTTATTATCTATTATATTTTATGCGTCATAGTTAGGTACAAATTTGTAATCATTTGCAATATTGATAATGAAATGCAAGACACGAAAATAATTTTGTAATACGATACAATGAATTAAAAACATTTCTAATTAGTAAAAGTTTTACTAAAAGATTTATTAATTTGTTTTTAATTAAATCGGAATAATTAAGAAAATACTAATTGCACAGCATTGAAATACATACTACATCAAAGATAAATTAATTCTTCATCGTATGCGCATAGTGGTATAAATAATTGCATTAATTTATAAATGCAAAACAAAAAACAAATTTTGAAAAACCACATTTGAAAGTAACGCCATCTAACGGATTTACTCGTAGTGCGTAAACCACTAATATTTTAATTTATTTGCAAATATCTATATCTCAAATAAATACCTAAATACCCTTATATCACGTACGTATCCCAACACTTTACCTCTCACCTTTAAAATATTATTTACCAACCAAATATAACCTCGATATTATTACGCTTAGATACACCTACAAATAAACACATCCGTGTATCGAACCGTATTGAAGTTCGAAAAACACCCAGCCGCCCTGAAATACACCCGAATTATGCCGGAATACGCGCATACGCCGACAATTAATAATTATAATTGAAATGATAATAATGATAATGGCCGGCCGCCGGAACGCGTAAATCGCCGCCGCCGCTGGCCGCCGATGCCGCTGCCAATGCCGCAACTGTTCCGTTTCGCATTCGCGCACAGCAGTCGTACATCGATTTGATTTCGGGGCGGCAATCGGCGATGGGGTAGTTTTCCGACAAACGCGAAAGGTGCACGCGCGGGGGCGCACATCATTAATTCTCATAAATTCAATCGTTCAATGTTAATTGAAATTCCAAAATGTGATTGCGTTTCCAGTTTTCGCAAAACGTTTTTCCACCTCGCAAAACGTTTTTCCACCCGCCCCCACAATCACACACACACACAGAAAAAGAGAAAGAGAGAGACAAATGGTTTGTGTCTATGACCGGAAATGCTATTAATCTTACTCTATGCAAATCGGTTCGAATTATTTATATGAACATTTTAAATTTAAGGTTAGGAATTTTAAAAAATCAATATTTTAAAATCAATTTTATTTAAAAGAAAAGAGAAATGCTTTTACTGCACATTAACGCCATCTCTAATTCAATTTTTTAACTAAAACTATGATTAAACCTTAATACCAACTTTTATCCCTTATTTAACACCCTTTACGTCAAAATTTTTAACATTTTAATAAATATTATCCTATTCCAAACCAAGACAAATCCAAAAAATCATAAATCATCAAAATTCGTCCAGTCGTTCTTTAGTTATAAACGTTGTAACTAACAAAACTATATTTTACAATTTTTTAAATATTTTTTTTAGGTACAACCCTGTGAAACGTCTGTGGCGCACCGCAAAGATTGCATACTTGTGCGGGAATTTAAAGAACGGTCGGCTCGTAATTAAAATATTCTGCTTGGACGCGTCTTTGCCGCCTCCAGTGCCGCCGCCACCCCCTCGGGCAAGACCTACGGCGCTCTCCTGTCGTATATCCTGAATGTGCAAAGTCGAGCACAAGTCACACACAAAGTGTCGGCGTGTCGGCGTGTCGACGATGTCTCGCACCGCTTCGGGCGACATCTGCAAAAAGGAAAAAAGTCCTTTTTAACGCAAGGACTTCCTTTGCGCCGCGCGAGTGTGAATTCTTGAGCAAAGCGTTCGCTAAATAAATGTTTGATTCAAACCGAACGACGTGACTTTCATTTGTTTTTCATTTCAAGGATAATAAAGGATTTTTAGTAAATTTTGACTAAACTCACAGAAAATATTAAAAAAAAAATTAAAATTTTAGGATATAAATCTTATTTAATTGGTTGTAGTTTTCTCTATCCGCCATGTTGATCCTTTATCCTTTTTCCACCATTAGTGTATACAACGCCATCTTTAATGCTTGTTTGTGAGTTTTCACAGCAAACAAAAATGTTTTTTTATGAAACTAGGTCTTTAGCGCTTGTAGTCCTTGGAGTCCTTGGATTTCTTGGTGAGAAAACTTTGTTTGATGTAAATTTGATTTCTTATTAACGCCGGCGTCCGCCGGCTGTGAACAAAACAGACGCACTATCACGATAACGTCAAGCGTGAAACCACGACGAATGACACGAAATTTCAGTCCTGCCGGAGCAAAAAAAGGATAACGGGCAAAAAATAAATGCAAAACGTAAAAAATCTCGTCGCGTCTCG